AAAAGGCCAGCACAGTGGCACAGTGGTAAAACACTGCTCAAGCAAAGCTGGATCAATATGAGTGATCTCAGAACCCCCAATTGACTTGTCCCTACCAGGCATGCAGCTCTATGATCCTGGCTGGCCAGAAAGCCTGGGGTGGACCGTGGTGCGAGACCCTATCTGGGATGCATGTCTCTTTTTTCTGTTTGCCTTTTACTCTCATGAAAGAAGTAACTACACTTTTTAAAAAAGATTTATTTAGTTTTATTTATTGTTATTATTTTTCTTTAAATTGCTATAAGGCATTTGTGGTCACCAGAGAAAGAGAGAGTGAGAGAAAGCTGCCAGGTCAGGGACCTGAATTACAGTTGACCATGTGGGAGTCCAGGACCTCAACCACCAAACCACCTGCTGGCCCTGAAGTAACTAAACTTAAAAAACAAAAACAAAAACAAAAACCAAACAAACAACAGAAACAAGGGGCTGGCAGGTGGCATGGTGGTTAAAGGTGCTGGATTCCCACACGGCCAACCACAGTTTGAGACCTGGACTGGGAAGCTTACCTTCTTCCTTTCCCTTTCTCTCTCTCTCTCTGGTCAAATTAAAAACAACAACAACAACAACAAATAGAATTAAATAAACAAATAAATCTGTCTGTCTCTGGTCAAATTTTTAAAAAATAGTAACAGGGACCAGCAGTTGGCATAATGGCTATGTCGCTGGACTCCCATGTAGTCGGCTGCAATTCGAGTCCCGGATCTGGTGGCTTAAACTCATGCCGGGCACATGTATGTGCATGCCCAAGATCCTGAGAGGAGAATGGAAGAGAAGTGATTGTGGTGTGGCCATCTCCTCTGGGGAGTGATTTCTCTCTTCCTGTCTTTCTCTGTCTTTCTGGTGAGCACACACGCCCTATAGCCACCAGGTCCGGGACTCGAACCGCGGTCGACTACGTGGGAGTCCAGCGACGTAGCCATTACGCTAACTGCTGGTCCCCAAAGTGGTATATTTGTTACAATTGATAAACTTACATTGGCATATCGTAAACATCCACAGTATTCTTTTAATTTGCTATAGGGAGTGTGTGCTTGCTAGACAGAGATAGCGAGAAAGTACCCCTACCATTTTAAAAGCAAGTTTGGGGGGGGGGCAGGTGGTATGATTAAGGGTGCTGGACTTCCACATGGCCAACTGTGTTTTGAGTCCTGGACCTAGAGGCTTGCTTTCTCACTTTCCCTCTCACCCCCTCCCCATGTTTCTCTCTGGAAATATTAAAATAATAATAATAAATAAAGTTAAATAATTCTTAAAAAAAACTTTAAAATTAAAAAAAAGCAAATTGGGACACATGTATTTAGGTTTAAAAATTGCACTGCAGGGGCCAGCAGGTGGTGTGGTAATTAGGGCAACAGGACTCCCACGTGTCTGACCACAGTTCGAGTCCCAGACCTCACTTTCCCTCTCTGTCTTTCTCTCTTTAGTCAACTTTGAGAATAAAATAATGACAACAAATACAATTAAATAATAACAATTGCACTGCACACATTTGCCCTGCACCAAGGTCCCTCAAAGGATGGCAAGGTAGGTCAGTCAGCTCCATGACCAGATCCCACATGGTTGACTACATGGTTTGAGTTCCAGATCCATTAGCTTGAGAAACACACCAGGTGTGCATCTATATCCCACATCCCAAAAGCATGAAGAGATAAAAGAGAAAGAATTGAGGCAAGATCACTCCCTGTAGAGGATGCTTTCTCCTCTCTTTCTCTGTCCCTCTGGCTGGCTGTTTCTGTTGAGTGCACACACCATCCATCCAAAAAATAAATAAATAAAATAACTGGGAAATGGACTGCTGGGTTTTCCTGATAAGCCCATCTAAAACACATTCAGCAATCCATCCTACAAATATTTCTGAGCAGCCACTATGTGCTAGACACTGTTCTAGAGACTGGGGACACACCCGGAAACAAGAGAGACAAAATTCCCTAGTCTTATGGAGCCGACATTCTAGTGGGGGAAACAATGAATGAATACATCAAATATGTGATATGCCAGATAGCGATGTGCTAGAGGGAGAAGTAAAGCAGGAGGCGAACTGCAAGAATTATGAGTGCGTTTTGGAGAGGATTACAAATTTATATAGGATAGTGGTCATAAAGGCAAGTTTTTTTTTTTTTTTTTTTTTTCCTGTAGGATGCGTGTACTCACCGAGAAACAGTGAAAGGGAAAATGAGAACTCGATTCCATGGGGAGATGGCCACACTGCAACACTCTCCTTCTGGGATTTTGGGTGCATGCACACACACACACACACACACACCTGACAATGAGTGTCAAGCCACCATGACTCAAACCGCAGTTGACTATGCAGAAGTCCAGCACCTTAACTACCATGTCACCTGCTGGCCCCAAGGCAAGAACTTTTAAAGCACAGGGAATGGCATAGGCAAAGGCCCAGCGGCAAAAACATGCCTGGCATGCTAAAGAAATATGGCATAGCACAGGCCAGTGTCGCTAAAGCAGAGTAGGGACAGGAAGAAGAAAATGCACTTGTACAGGTATTGGGGAACCAGCTCTTGTAAACTTTGTAGGTTTTTGTTCTTTTTTTTTAAAAAGATTTTTGCCATAGGGCACATGCACTCGCCTGAGAGAGGAAGAGAAAGAGAGAGAAAGTGAGAAATCACTCCCTAGGGGGGATGGCCACCCTGCAATCCCTTCCCCTCTCAGGATTTTGGGCATGCATGCACATGCCCAGTGTGATTTTTCAAGTCACTGGGTCTGATACTCAAACTGCAGTCAGCCATGTTGGATCCAGGTACCTTAACTACCACACCACCAGCAGGCCCTTTCTTTCCTTTTTGAAAAAACTTATTTAGGCGCTGGCAGATGGTATGGTAGTTAAGGTGCTGGACTCCCACATGGCCAACGCTGGTTTGAGTCTGAACCTGGCAGCTTCCTTTCTCACTTTCTCTCTCTCTGGTCAAATTAAAAAACAATAAACAATATTGGGACCAGCAGTTGGCATAATGGCTATGTTGCTGGACTCCCCTGTAGTCGACCACAGATCAAGGCCCGGATCCGGTGGCTTAAACTCACACTGGGTGCGTGTGCATGTGTGCCCATGATCCTGAGAGAATGGAGGAGAAGGGATTATGGCATGGCCAACCCCCCTGGTGGGTGACTTCTTGCTTTCTGTCTCTCTGTCTCTCTCTGTCTTTCTGGGGAGTGCACGCGCCTGATAGCAAAAACCTCTACAAATTAATTAATTAATTAATTAATTAATTAAATTTAATAATTCTTTTTTTTTTTTTAAGAGAGATTTTTGCTATAGGGCTCATACATTAGCCAGAGACAGAAAGTGAGAAATCATCCCCCAGGGGTATGGCCACCCCAAAATCCATTCTCTTCCATTTTCCTCTCAGGACTTTGGGCACACGCACACACATGCCTAGTGTGAGTTTCAAGTCACCAGATCTGGGACTCAAACTGTGGTTGGCCATGTGGGAGTCCAGCAACATAACTTTTAAGCCATCTGCTGGTCCCAAATAATTCTTTTTTTTTTTTTTTAATTTATTTTATTTTTCTATGAAAGTGACATAGAAAGGGTGACAGGCATTCCCACCAGGGTCCTTCTCCAGCAATCCACTCCTGGTATCACCTGGCCCAGAGCATGCTGAGGTTTTCTCAGGGAATTCCTAGAAGGTGAACAATTGGGTGAACAGACTAGGGTGAAGGGCAGGGGTGGGAGCTGGGAGACCAGTGAAGAGTTTACTAAAATAGTCTGTTTGGGAGGTGATAATGGTCAGGACCAGGGTAGGGTGAGAGGAGCAGGTTAGAAGTGATCAAATTCTAGATTCTAAAGGGAAAGCCAACAAGATTTGCTGATGGACTAGATGAGGAATATATCCTAGCCCACGTAGGTTAAGACCCGCAAAGGCAAACCTGTAGTCTAACAAAGTCAGGTTTATTTACTATGGCAATGAGAGAATCTATGCACTAGAGATTCTGTAGGAAGTCTTACCAAACAAAGGAAAAGTTAGTATTATTTTGGTTTGGAGGGACGTCAAATTTGGGTGAAATATAAGCGAAGCAGTGTTTGAATGAGTTCAAAGCAAATTGGGACTCTGTGTAAAGGGGCCAATGACAGGTCTGGATCATGAAGTGAGCCCATGGTCCTGTCTCCTTGGAAGCAATACAGTTAAGACAAACGTGAAATAACTTGTCTAGAAACCCTTTATCTGAAGTCCTGAACCTGGACTGTAAATTGAAGCTGCTTTTCTTCATCAAAGTGATTCAGCTCCTCCAAGCAAAAGTAAGATGTTTCATTTCTACTGATAAAATTGCCAAGAACAAAAATTGTGATAATCTCTGATTTTAGACAATAAATTTTCCCAAAGAGTAAGAAAGCAACAGTCACTGGAAGAAGGGGTGTTCTGCCGCTTTACATCTGCGTCATCCCTGAGAGAAACGGGTGCTTTCCTACGAACTCTTGAGCTGCCTTTTTCCGTGTCTGTTATTTCAGCCAGATAAATGGGAGGGAAGATTTTTTTTATCTGAAAGCTCATGCTGATGTTCTTAAGTGTGAGGAAAGAGTAGTAGTAAGGATGACTAAGGATTTTAGTCTGAGCAACGAAAAAATGGAACAAGCTATTAAGACAGGAAGACTGGAAGGTTTTAGGGAGACAGGAGTAGATGCTCAGTTTCAGACGCTGTGAATTTGAGATGCCTCATATTCTAGGAGCGGTAAGTGGGCTTCTGCAGAATGGCTTCTCCCTACGGATCCCGCCCCCTCCTCCGCTCACTCCCTTTAGTTAACCATCTACATATTTGCACCTTTGTATACGCAGGGTTTACTCCTGAGAATACCTACTTTTCACCTTTCTAACCCTACTCCCTAACACGCTCAAACTAGCCCGGGTGCCCCGCAGAGTTGCATTTACCACCAGGCCCCGCCCTTCACATGACCACGCCCTCCCCATGCCCCGCCTCCCCAAGCCCCGCCCCGCGCTTGCGCTCACTTGTAGAAGCTCACTGGGCGGTTATCCGATCCCAGTCGGCCCGCAGTGTTGGAGCAGTTTGGTGCCCTGCAGTACTTGGGCATGGCTGTCCAACCCCGCTGCGTATTGCCCGGTCAGGGGGTAGCACTTTCGTACTCGCCAGGCGCCGCCGAACCCCGCCCTGCCCGCGCGCTCTACGCCTGATTCACGTGACGTCGTTGATATCTTGTCACGTGACGGGGGAAAAGCCCACAGCTCCTGCGCACTACGCAACCCTCTGCGTTACCGCGGCTTACGCCCTTGTCACGTGGCGAATAGGGAAAAGCCCGTATGTCGGCGCAAAACCGGCTTTTCTCCATCCTGATCATCGTCACGTGTTGGGGGAGAGGTGGTGTCGGGACTGTTTGGCGAGTGGTTTCTGAGCTTGCGCCAACCAAATCCACTGGCCTGTCAGTCTCTTTTCGCTCCACCCTCCACTCACATCCGGGCAACTGTTACAACTCGGCTATTTGTCGCCCTGTATGGCGAAAAGCGAGGTAGAGGCTCTGGCCTTAACCTCCTGAAAGTTAAAGCTTTCAGTAGGTTTCAGTTAACAATGAAAAACACCACGAAGTTTGATCAAAACTCAAACAGCTGTAGCTCCACCAGTCCATCCACTCCGCCCCGCCTCTTAGCGCCCATTGGTCATAAGTGCCGCCCGGCAGCCCTGAGATTGGCCAGAGCGGTGCCCCCGTCCGTCCAATGGGCAGTGGCGCCGGCTTTCCCGCGGCGGTTCACTGTTCGAGTGGGTCGTGGCGGCTGCGGCAGTTAAGGAGTATAACGGTCGTCCGATTCCGGAGCGACGATGGCGGCCGTAGGGCCCGGAGGCTACGCGCGGAATGATGCGGTCGAGAAGCTGCCATCTGTCATGGCGGGAGTTCCGGCACGGAGGGGTCTGTCCTCTCCGCCCCCGGTCCCCCCTCTCTGCCTGCGGCGGGGGGGGGCACCACCCCCC